GGAGTTTTTCCTTCCGGTCATCCACCTTTCCAGCACTCGCTTGGATCAGTCGCATAATCAGTGCTGAGACGGGCTGTATACTTTTGCCTTCTGAAAGCTTGAACTGCCTTGCACTCTGCTTGCCGATAGGCAACTTCTCAAGAGAAGTTAGGATCTCATTGAAGATACCTTCTCTTTGCGCAGGATTCATTAAGAATACCTGTGATAACACATTCATGGCAACCAGGCGGAGCGCATCGAACTTTTGGACGCCCACAACTGAGTCTTTCTCTGTATGCGCGTTCTCAACGAAGATAAGCCGCGACGCTACAAACTCTAGCGTGTTGACAACAGTTTCGGAGAGGTCGATGCTGACTATCAAATCCGACATGAGGGAAAAGACTTTCTGGCAGGTGGTGAAGAGAGTACCAATGGCCTTCTTATGAACGGTAAGATGGCGAAATAGGTTGCTTGTAGGACCAGTGCTCCGCAACTCAGCGATAGGGATGATGATGTCCCCTATGACATTTCTAAAAAGATTTAGTCCTTGCTGAATGAGGTCTTCGGAGTACAGCTGCTTCTCCTCCCGCCCGCCGCACATGATACGGAGCGACGTGCGGGCGGCTTTAAGACCCATTTCGATACTGTGAAGCTGCTGAACCCAAAATCCGACCTCAGTCTCGCCCCACGTCTCATCCAGTTTGAAATCAAGAGTGTCGGCGTGCTTCAAAGCCCCTTCACTTAAGCCTTGGATCCGAAGCAGATCATCTAGAGGCGCTTGGCGGAAACATCCGAGGCCAATAGCTCTATTAATTTGCCTTTGAGCTTTATCATGTGCAGCTATTGTCATAGTAGGCTCCTGGTCATTTGTCAGTGTGACAAGGTGTGATGCGCCGCTGTGCTCATCTGATAGGCGATCCTCGGCAGAAAATATCTCCTGGAAACATCTGCGCAAGTCCCCAAATGCGGCATTAGCGAGCTCGCGTTGATTGAGCTCCCCTCCAAGAGTATCCTCAAGATCATCATGAGCAGTACGTTTTCTCTTCGAGGATAAGTGCGTGGGAGTGTCGGGTGAATCAGGGACTACGGCAAACTCCTCCCTATTAAAGCTCGCCGCCGGCAATTCAATCCTAATGCTCTGTTTGGGGGGGATCGATGATGATTTCGGTTGGTTTTGGCTCGCTATATGGGGCGGGTATTCAGGAGCTTCTGACGTCTCCGTCTTTGGCACAGCGGCTTGGTTTGGTGTCGGCGATTCGGGTCGTATCTTGACTACTGCTGACAAGGGAGGTACCTGGGAGACTTGTGAGACCGGGACAGCGGGTGCTTGTGGTGTTACCATTAGGTCCGCAAGCGAGACTGTCTGAGATTGAACCTGTGTTGCAGGAGATGGAGATGAAGCTGGAGCCGAAGCTATTGTCGACGTGTACATCGACGCGGCGGCGTCTAGTTCCTTTCGAGTGGGCAGATGGATCTCGATCCGAGACTTGTTCTGAGCAGCAGCCTGGACGTTTGATGTAGCAGGATTGTGCTTTACGATCTTAGGTGCCTCCTGTCTCCTAGCCTTGGGCGACAACCTCTTCATGTTTCGGGGCGACATACTGTGGCCGTTCGGATTCGGAGTCGGAGCGTTTGATACTTCGGGGGTAGAATAACGGAATGATATGGCTGTATTGTCATAAACCATCTTTGCGAAAGGTGAGATTCCATCGGCGAGGCTGTTAGAAGTAGAAGATCTGTTGGCCGGTGAAGCAATCTTCGGCGCGGTCTTGAATTGGCTATCATGACTGCTGTTAGTACCAGCTGCGCGTCGCCGAAGGTTGGGTTGCTAGCAACTAGCAATGAACTAGCAATGGTGATACTCACAATTGTGTGATTTTGTCAGCCTTAAGGAGGTGCTGTACGAACTCGAGGCTTCCCTCCACACGTTTTGAGTGGCTAGGATTCTCGGCTTCCTTATTCAAGGCATCGTAATCTTCTCTGGAGACAAGGTCTGCAAGGGACGGCGCAAGAGGACCCGAGCTGATTGTGGGATTACTGATGATATCTTTTCGAATTTTAAGTTCCTGTTAGGTTCAAGATCACGCGGAAAAGGGCTGGACATCCAAGCGCGCAAAGTGCAAGAACGGCAGAGAGGAAGGGTCGACGGGGACTGTGACTGGGATTGTGACTGAGACTTACCTGGTTCAAAAGGAAAGACCGACGTGAAGGCTGTATATGGAAGCGCTTCGGTTAACGTGAAGGGTCTCGGATTGTGCTGTTGCTGGTACACGCCGTGACTAGGTTGAGGATAGGCTTGCTGGTTGAAGTGAGGCGCCGTGCCATTTTGGTTGCTGGACTGCGGGCTTGCCATAGCAACGCAAACAACACCCTACTCTTGCTATACGTAGCGGTCGAACTACTTGGTTTCCCGGGTTTGCTGAAGTCGATGCGCTGCCTCTCATCGCAGTCTACCTTCTCCGTGAAGAATGAAGCGGGAATGTGAACCGTGCCATACGTAGGCGCTTGTTACCAGACGGACTTTGTCAAAGCCACTAAATTTGGCGCAGAGGCGAAAAGAACTGTTAGACACAAAGTGGATAGGTGAAGGAGCCGTGACAATCACAGATTCAAAATATCGAACTGCGAGCAGCTAGACGACAGCCTGCCAGCCTTGCGCGACTCGGGAATCTTTAGGTAATTGGATTTGATTGACCGTTAAAAGAGTGGGTTGCGACCACCCAAAACCGTCGACCCGCCCTGCCTTAGCACGCCCGTGCATTCCTGTAGTGCAAGGGATGTTCCTTGTTATCGATAAATGAAAAACCTTATCGATAATGTAGGTCGGTGATAGATTTCTTGGCATACAATCGCCGCTGTGAAACCCAATTTTTCTTTATCGCAAAATCTCGTCCAGACTGCCAGAATACCAAACTCCTCATCCAACTCTACAATGGCAGCTATCGGCTCCTTGGTTTTCTGCACGGACTGCGGGAACTTGCTCCCCGTATCCAAAGGAAACGTCAAGAACATTCTCCATTGCGAATGTTGCGGCGCTGAAAACAGAGGTACTTTACGGCAACACCTACAATGACTTCTTAAAAAACTCCGTGTCAAGCAGTGGTGGCATTTACTAATATGACGAGCCGATAGACACAGCATCGAAGACGACCGTTACTCAGAGCAAACCCTCAGATTTCCCTTCCTTGCTTCGACAAAAGCTCTCAATCGTACAGTCAGTTAAGCGACACGATGTCCAGACAGAAGCTGTCATCAACGAGACATGCGAGAAGTGCGGCCGCACCGAAGTCAGATACACGGCAGTGCAACTACGCAGCGCTGACGAAGGGAGCACCATTTTCTTCACCTGCGAATGTGGTCATAAGTATGTTGCCGTTCATTCCCGCCGTGAATTTGAAACGCAACTAATTTGGCATTCTTGCAATAGGTGGAATACCAACAATTGAGATTCCTCTAATAGAAACTACCCTGTAGACTTCTCAAGCAGTGACGATGAATCCGAGAGCAAGTCTTGTGTAATAAAACCATGCGCATCCTTTTTTGGTATCCCCCAGCCAACCTAATATAACGCCAGTCTAGACCCCAACCTATGCCGCAACCTTTGGCGCCTCGGGAATGAGCGCATATTCTGCCTGGTTTGATTGTTCAAAGTCGGCCATATCCAACGCAACAATGACGCTGTCGCGCACAACCTTCTCTTCATCATGAAGGAAACGCTTCAGTATCTCCTCGACTCCTTCTTCCTCGCCGAGACTTCCCAATGCCTCCGCCGCTTCGTGTCGGACCATACTGGCCTCCTGGAGATTGCTCAAAGCAGAAGTGAGAGCAGGAATCGAGGCCGGATGTGAAAGTTGGCCAAAGACAAAAGCAATTTCGTGACGGAAGAGGGCCGATGAATCAGCAAAGCCCTTGGCCAGAGCATGGACAGCCGGGACTGCAGTCGGAAGGTCGGGCGGCGATGCAAGGTCGCGGAGTGCAAACATGGCGCGGTATCTGAGGAAGAGGGGTAGGTTTGTATCCATCAAGGCCTTCTCTAAGTCTTCGACGGTCTGTTCAGAGTCGGGCATCGGAGGGGCCGGATCGACTGAAGCGAAATCGCTATATCCTCGTAGTTAGAACGTAGAAAATTTACGCATGGGGTGGTTCGCAAGTCAATGATGATATGTACATACCTTTGGTGTAGCTTCTCCGCCTTTCGTTGTTCCGAGTTCTCCCATTCGATTCTGTCGATAGCAATTTCACAGGTCTCTTTAATGACAACGTCTTCGCCCTCGCGATCCCGGAACTTGCGCAGGATCTCCAAGTTTCCAGCATCGCCTAGAGCGCCCAGGGCCTCCGCCGCTTCATGTCGGCACATGGGATCTTCTTGTAGATCCGCTAGGACTTTTTGGAGGTGGGGGACAGCAGCAAGATTAGCCGACTGGCCGAGACAGTAAGCCAGTTCATGCTTGAGCAGCGCGGACGGGGATGTGAATGCGGCTGCAATGGCGTCTATAGCCGCGAGAGCTTGGTCGCCTGTCTCGTGTCGCGCCAGGTGCTTAAGGGAGAAGAGTGCGCGGAATCGGACGGGTAGCGGGGTAGCTTCGGAGCAGAGGGACTCGCGCAGGCTCGCGATGGTCGCTGAGTTGTCTGTGTCGGACGCCATGACGACCAGGATGGACAGGCTTTCCGAAGTGAATAGGTAGTGTCTTGAAGTTCGCAAACCACAAGGAGAGGAGAAACAAGGTAACGAAGAGAACGTGGGGTTAGAAGATTATAGCCCAGTCGAGAAATTTTGGGCTACATTGACTTCCTTGCCTGTTTGTTATCTTATCGACTACTAGGTGGCTAGGTGGGCAGGTGGGCAGGTGGGCAGGTAGGTACCTAGGTACTTAAGGATCTCCGAGAAATTTCTCCTATTCGGGGCGGGGCCGCCGGGCCAAAGTCGGGCTCTGCATGATGCCGCAGGGTTTATACTACTTAGATCAGAATTCCAGACCTTTGCATCACCAATCACAAGGACTACATGTTCGTTTCCCATCGGTTTTCTAGTGTAATGGTTATCACTGCGGATTCTGATTCTAGATCGTGAAGATCTGGCTCTGCATTCCGCCAATCTGGGTTCGATTCCCAGGAAAACCTTCAACCCAATTTTTTGCCGTTTGTCCCAACCCTGCCCCTATACTTGGGAAACAAAGACATATATAAGTCTACATGATTCTCCTGGCATAAATTAGTTATGAAAGCGTTCACACCGGTACATAGGTATGTACATGTGCGTTGTACCTTCGGCAAAAATACCCCCAATGAAGAGGTATGTACCCGCGGAGGTCTAAAAGCTAAAGCTCATCTTTTTAAAAATACGCTAAAAGGCTTCCCGTCTCAGGCGAGCTCCGCAACTCATCATACGGTACCTAGTAATACAAGCAACGTGATGCCTTTTCCACACTGAACAGATTCCACGCTCAACTAAGTGTTGCAAGACGGCCATCGTATCTTCATGCCCTCAGTTTTAACACGATTAGTATCGAGTACGGGCAGGATGGCCTTGCATTCCGCAAGTGTGGGCGACAAACTTATTTGTGTGTGGTACCACTTCACCCAGATACGGTCCTTGATGAGGCCGAATACTGACTGCTCGATCAGTTGCACCGGCGGGCAAAGAGGCGCATGGCCAGGCAGAACAATTCACTAGGGGTGTATTGACTCGCTCTGACCTTGACCCTACTTCGCCTGTCCGTCAGTTTCATAAATGGTTCGCAGCAGCACAACGGTCAGGTCTCGTAGCACATCCCGAGACGTGCTGTCTGTCCACTGCGTCGTTGCCCTCTGGCCGTGTGTCCTCCCGTATGGTATATCTGAAGGAGCTGGATGCGCAAGGCTTCGTGATTTACAGCAACTTTGGGACGAGTAAGAAGGCCCGGGACCTCGCCACAAATCCATGGGCTAGCCTTACCTTCTGGTGGGAGGATCTCGAACGGCAGGTGAGAGTAGAGGGCCGAGCAAGCAGGCTCACCCGTGAAGAGAGCCAGAAGTACTTCGACACGAGAGTTCGTGGTAGCAGGATTGGCGCCTGGTCAAGTCGCCAGAGTCAGGTCTTGAAGCCGACCGGAGGAGAGATCGGAGAGGATGGAGATGACGGACGAAAGATACTCGATGAGTGGGTCAAGGAGACTGAGAAGCGATTCGAGGGAGAAGAGCATATCCCAGTCCCTGAGTTTTGGGGAGGCTTGAGGATAATCCCCGAATCCGTCGAGTTTTGGCAGGGTCGGCAGAACCGGCTGCATGATCGTTTTGTTTACGATAAGAAACCACCAACAGAGGGCAACTCGGAGGAGTGGACGCTCGAAAGGCTTAGCCCATAGATGTCACCGGCCCATCTTGAGTTGCGTTTGACGTGTTTCTCAAGGCCAGGTGCAGGTGGCGGTCATGATGCAAAGTATCCACATGCGCTGGATTTGGTAGTTCAATTTTTATTTTCCTGTATCACTGGCTTTCTCGCTTCCGTCCTGCTAGACTACCTTTCGATTCATCAGCAACCTCACACACAAAGCTTCCTAATTCCTACCTAGAGCTTACCAGGTCCACATCCACATCCTAAGTTCCCAGGCTTAGTTAGATACAAAGGACCCATACTGGACTTCGTCAATAGCCTTAAAGGACGTCGCAGTTACTATTACACCAACTTTTTCCATATTCGCAAAGGTTCCCGTTGGCAGATGTTAATATAAGAGTAAGCCGCCGAAGACCGTTGTCATCGTGGCTTCTCTACCTCCAACCTACCAGGGACTACGTTGTTTGGCTTGCCGCTCTTTCACATCGTAGATCGGTGGTCCTGAGACGATGTTCCATCGTCGATCTAACAATCTAAGGAGCGGCGATCCAAAGAAACGGATCATCCATACATGATCGAGATGTAAGGGGTGCCATGGAGCACTGGTTGATTGGGCCACCTCCCTGGTCTATAATGCATCCAAAGTGCATTCAACGCTCCCACACAAGCCGCTGACAAAATAACTTGCATGCTTTCGAATCCGTCCCCACAAAAACATATGCAAATTATTTTGCCAGCCGCTTGCCGCCTTATCATACTCCTAATCCTTCTATGCGTTGCTCAAGAGGGTTGGTTGTTGCAGAATGTATGCAGCGGGCAGTATAGAGCAAAGTTATATTTCCGAGTGAGTTAAAGATTGACGGTATAGCACTCTTTTGCCACACTGAATAAGCCATACTAAATAAACCCCTTCTTGGAGGCCATGTAAAAGGTGTGCACCGCCAGAGAGAGGCGTATTCTTCGGGCCCCGTCTTATGGCCGTGGAACAGCCTTGTTTCTCAAGTACGTTGCGTATGCGTGCGTGTGCATACCATACATTCTACTCATAAGGATCGCGATTTCACCATGCTATCTGAGATCGTCGATCACTTACAGCTGAGTTCCCAATACGTCTGAAGGTGGCTTGAGACTAACGCACGTTTCGCTGCACGCAGTTGCTAACAGGAGGCATCGAGCAATGCGTAGGGCAGCCGTGGCTGAAGAATAATACAGGTGGCTTTTCCGCGACTTGAAGAAGGCTTTAACAGAAAAACGCCTCTCCAGTATTACCGATGCGAATTCTTTACTTATCGTACCTCGCCGTATGAGAAAGAAAAAGAGTCATCTAAATGCCGCTGTCGTCATCCACCGACCAATCCTCTCCCGAGTTTTCAATACGATGTCTTCACACGCACGCCCCCTCAAGTATGCGTGTGGCCTCGCTTTCGTGGTTGTATTCAAGAATATTCGGTGAACAGGCGGCCATAGTAGCCGCATCTTGGCCTTCGGCATTCGTTTCATACAACGTGATACCTGTAAGAGGGTTGGAGTAATCTGCTGCGAGAGCTACAAGCAGAATATAGGTGGCTAATCTCAAAACTTGCAGTGATTTGTAGTCACGTGCTAATATGGCAAATCCAACGACCATGGACCCTGGATGATGGTCAACAGACCCTTTCCACAGATATGTGAATAGCCTTGATGCACGTTCAGGCACCGTTTTCGGTTCGTGGCCGCCCCCCAACCAATCTGGCAGTCGTCCGTTCGCCCACTCCTAGCAATACAAGGAGGGTTAGTTACTGTTGCGAGACTACTACACAGTTCCTCTTAGGGAAATGGGGCAAGTTGTGCGTGTGACTAACCATCGTTATTAGATAGCCTCTCGTACTTATGAGGAGGAGCCGCACCGGAGGTCTATCAAGTAAGCTAAGCCGTATGTTTGCAATCTTCCCTCTCGGTAGTATCACTTCTATACTTGCTCGATAAACCCCCTTTGAAACTTCACTTACCTATAAACCCGAAAATTAAATAACATAGCGTGGTTTTATCAAGTCCTTCGACATTTTACCAGGTCTTCTCAGTTCAAGTCTAATATCGCATCCCCAACTGAGAGTCGAGGCCGAATCGAAACCTAGGTACGGGGAGCTGGTCTTTCTAGAAAACCAGCTCAAGCTCCTATTGAGAGTGTATCGCTTCCCACCAATCCCCAGGAATTAGTAGGTGTCTTTACATAGATAATATCCATGGGATCGCTGGACAAGGCAAACCTCGCTAGGGTTCGGGATAACCAGAGGAGGTCGAGGGCCCGACGCAGAGAATATGTCGCCGGTATGTGTCAAACATGTCGTGTAATGGCATGCAGCCCCGATCCCCCAAATATTTTGAGGTCCTTCTCGCGGCCGGCAATCCTTTTGTAATATCAAAACAACACCCAGCCCCAGCCCCAACCCCTCCACCTCTTTCTTTTTATCCTCTTCCGGACTTCGGGTTCGGAGGCGCGGCGTCCCCAAAAAACCATCGACTTCTAAAGCAGGGCATTGCGTTGCTAACAGGCGGTTGTCGATTTACGTAGATCTTGAGACGCGATTAAAAAAGTTCGAGCGCCAGGGTGCTGAGGCCACTTACGCGATCCAAAAAGTCGCTCGAAGAGTTGCGGACGACAATAAGAAGTTGCGAGTACTTCTCAATCGCTTAGGGTACGACAATGAAAGAATCAGGACCTTCCTTCAAGCTGGTAGCTCTAACCCTACCGAGGCGATAACCCCGAGCCTCTCACAAGAGCAGGAGGATATGATCCAAACCTTGGAGCTTCTTCTGGCGTCTCATTTTCCAGAGGGTCCTGATACTTATTCCGCTACATCCTTGTTCTCGCCTTGCTCTAGCGTGTACAACAGTGTTGAGAGCAATGTTGGCTCCTCGGCATATGGCCAGGGGGAGGGAGGGACGCTTGATACAGCTATTCGCGATTGCATTCAATTACAAGGAGCCCTATTATCGGACACCAACGTGCCCGATTTCGAACCGCAAGCCCACTCGCAATACCCGACATCTGGCGTCCCTGTTGGTAACAGCGATATTCTATGTGAACCACAACATTCGCTAGGCGTCCTCGGGCAATCTAACAACTTTCAACTCACACAGGCGATTCAATACGGTGCGAACTTGGTGTATCAGGATACACTGTATGACGAACATGAAACACATCAACGCCTTGGGGATGACTTCCTAGTATGCTCACCTCCTGCGTCAAGGGAATTGAGCTATTCTATCTCAGTCGGGAACGTGATGCCAGACCCAGTGTATACATGCCGCGGGTATTCTGGCCACGCATCTGCTGGGCAATGCTTGGACAATTACGAATAATACTGTAAGTCTCCCAGCATCCTAGGCCAAATGTACACTATTGTTCACTCCTGTAGGAGCATCACGCTTTTTGTTGGTCATAACTCGTGAAGGGGAGTCTAACGTAAGTAGCTATTTAATAGAAACCAGATCAATGGACTAAATTACTCGACAGGGGGATCCTCTAGTTGCGGACTATCCCTATGCCTTCGCAGCCGCATTCCAGAGCTGCTTGGCTCCACTGGCCGCATTGAGCATCCTGGCTTCCGGGAAAGAGAAGTGCCTTTGTCTAGTTATTATTTGGACAATTCTTTGCAAGCAATGGCAATGCGAAAGCAATCGTTGGTGCTGGCTGGAGTCGCTGTTTTCAGCATGGTGTGAGGAGGAAACACATCATACAAAGGCCGACGCTCACTCTTTGTCCGAGTCCCTATTATTTACGCGATGGGTAGTTTAGCCAATTCAACGTCGGTATTCCTTGAAACGT